TACTTACTGACTTACAAACTTAATCAAGATCATCTAGAGACATTTTTTAGTGCAATGCGCAGTAGAGGAGGCTACAATAATAATCCGAATGCGCTACAATTCGAAACTGCTTATAAAAGATTACTGGTTAGACACGAAATCGAAGCATCAAAGTCCGGAAATTGCGCTATTAACGATGTCCAAATTTTGTACGCATCGTCGGTAAAGAATACATGTAATGTAACTGATGACTTATTTTCAGAAACGAATGATACAATGCGTTTTGATATAACTGATCACGATTACTTGTCAACCTTATGGACATTAAGTTCATATCAAGAAGAAGTGATCAAATATATCAGCGGATTTGTGATTAAAAAACTGTTACAAGGAATGTGTGATGTCTGCTCTACCTTCTTAACAGTACAGTCCTCTGATTCGTCTTTAATCAAACTAAAAAATAGAGGGAAATTAATATTTCCATCAAACGATGTTGTGAAAATAGTTCGATTATGTGAGATGACCATCCGAGAACATAAACACATTATTTTCACGATGAAAAATATTAAAACTGTTTTGACTGTAAAAGTATTCAAAGCTATCTGCAGTTCCGTTTTTAATGACATTAAAATGACCGAGCACATCATGCAACAGGACTTTTTAAATAATCATAAGACAACTCTGATAAAAAGTATTATTACAATTTATATTAATATAAGATTATTCCACGAAGGCAAATGCGCAACGTTAATTGATAAAAAAGATTTTATTAGACATAAGTTTTCCAAAATGATACATTTCAAAAATCAATAAACATTTTATTCCTATTCGTTGTATTTATATTTATTTACATCCACTCAAATCAATTTTACTTTAATCTCACATTGCATGCATTCTTATATTAAAATTCATTTTAACACTAATTTATTAAATACAATAGATTATGTCAATTTTATTGTTATTTTGTCTAAGATACGTAACCTAAAACTCCTGAAACAAACAGTAAAAATGCGTGAGAACACTAACACAACTGTACAATTCATTTCACACATACGATGGCACTGACGCATGCGCATTGCGCATATATTACTCTATACCTTTCTCTCTCGCACAGATGTTGGCATCACGTTCAGCGCCCTATTCTCCTTCCA